ATTTTAATCACAGTAATCAAATAAAACAGAATGCATTTCCCTTATCACATTACTGGGAAACAAAACTATACAATTCACAAAAATAATGATACTACTGGGAAATATGCAGAACACTCTTCCCCTTAATATTACATGAGTAACTGCATATTGCCTTTACCATATTTATAGAATTAAGAAGCAAAGCAATCCCATCGCTTGCTCTATTCAATACCTTTCTATTTAAGTATCCAAGCCTGTCTCTCTCACATACATGCACACAGATTCTATAATTTTCTGCTGTATAATCCATTCCTTGATTTTCTTCTTGCTTGGGTTCAAGGAGATCTTATCTTCAGGTGTTTTTTTTTTTACAACTCCTCTCCTCCTTCCCTCTCTGTTCTTCCACAGGCAATACAAATAAGCAAAATACAGGGTGCCCTTGAATACACATTGAGCAAAATTTGCTCCGCAAAATTTGTATTACCGATCAAGACTCAGCATAAAGTCCTTCAGGTTTTACAAACAAAAACGATTTCCAATGTTCCCTTAGCTCTGTTCATTCCTGCAGTCTTAATGTAACAATTTATCAAAGGATATAAGGTGAAATACAGCAAGTTTTGACTCAGCAGGCTACCAAGAAGGAGCGGTGGAAGGAGCTGCACAAGTTAAAAGTGCAAATAGCTGGGGACCACAGGAGGATGTCCTGCCTGCATGGAAGAGTGTTTTTCCGTACTTACAGAAGTATTCCATACGCACTTTTTTATCTCAATGGAAGGTTAAAGAAAGATTTATGCTTATTCCAGAGGGTAAAAAAAGGAACTCAGCTTACTCAGAGAGTACATCATCCGTTTTTATAAATGACAATGAGCAAATGAATCAAGATATCTCAGCTCATAACAGATCTACATTCTACAGGGTGAGGCAGCATAACTTCCTTATTTAAAATGCGTGCCATTCAGTTGGTTGAAGACGTAACAGAGCGCTAGTGGTCTCGTTCGAGAGGCGGGAGTATAAAGTTTCGTCCTGACACAGTTCAGTCACCATCATGTGTTGGAATAGTAAGGAGCATGCTTTTGCCATTGAGGCCTACTTTTCGAACGGATTTGGAGTGGCCAACCCATTCTCCAGATTTGGCCCCTTGTGGTTTTTTTCTATGGGTTTTTTTTAAAATCCCTTGTTTATGTGAACCATCCAAGGACTCTACAAGATTTCAAGACCAACATCCAGGAAGAAATTGCCACCATAACGCCTGCTGTGCTGGCAAGAGTCATGACAAATGCCAGAAATCGATTTACTCAATGTATGGAGAATGGGAGACGTCACCTACCTAATTTGATCTTCAAAACAACGTAAAACAAAACTTTAAGTATGCGCCTACATTATGACAAAAAAAAAATCTGATTCATACAATGGGTTTTATTAAGTTTTGAAAAAGGGAAGTTATGCTGCCTTACCCTGTATGAGGATAACTACACAACACTGTCACAGGTATAAGAATCCTCAAATTTGTAATTATACAGTCAGACCTCACTATACCAATTCCAGGATTTTAAAAGATGGAGACATTGTTGTTAAAGTGGCATTGAAATACCCCCAAAACACTCTTAGGTTGTAATCTGAGCCTTAATAAAACTTTCGATTCTGCAATTCAACTCTTCACTTTTCCACAACTGTGTATATTGGACACTGATTAGTGGGTAACACCTCTTGCCTCCTTATCAGCCCATATTCAAAGCTAGCATAAAACACTAATAGCATTCATTTATTTAAGAAAGCTCTAAACTAAGCTCTTCACATTATATGAGGGGTATTTTTTAAGTAAGGTCCGTTTTGTTGTAGACACTAGTAGTTCGTGCGCATACCGCAACGAGCGCATGCGTCGTGTACCAGCATGCCTCGGGAACAACTGTGCTCAGTTTCCGCTCTGTAGCTAACCTGTGCGGTTCTGTTCTGTGCTTTAAAAATGTTTAAGACTATCAACTCACCCTCCGCATGTGAGGTTCGCTCAGTGATATGGTTTTTGTCAGCAAGGAACCTGCCTGCTGCAGAAATTCATCGACAGATTTGTGAAGTGTACGGTGATACTGTTATGAGTGAAAGCAAAGTGCGTAAGTGGGTACGACAATTCAAAGATGGCCGTGACAACATCCATGATGAGGACCGCTCCGGTCGCCCTTCTTTGATTACAAACTCTTGGTTATCGGAGCAGGCGGCAAGTTTTTATGAAGAGGGTATTTTAAAATTGGTTCAGAGGTATGATAAGTGTTTGAACAAACTTGGCAACTATGTCGAAAAATAGAGTGAAGTATGTACTTTCTGAAAATAAATTTACTTTTTTGAAATAAACTTTCATTGTGTACTTATGTTCCAACGGACCTTACTTAAAAAATACCCCTCGTAGACTAAAGCATTCATCACACTAGAGAAAAAAAATCCACTTAAAATCCAGTGTCTGCCTCCTGTAGAATTCTAGGGTTTGTAGTTTAGTGAGGCTGTTAAATGCTCCTCCCTAAACCACACAACCCAGAATTCTGCAGGAGACCGGAATTTAAGTGGATTTTTTTTCTTTAGTGTGATGAGGTCCTAAGGGTGCATCTATACTGAAGAATTAATGTAGTTTGACACTGGCTCAATGCTACAGAATCCTAGGAGTTTCAGTTTGGTGAGGTACCAGCACTATCTGGCAGTTAAGCTAAAGGTCTTGTAAAACTACAGCACCCATGATTCCATAGCATTCAGTCATGGTAGTTAAAGTGGGTTCAAACTGCATTAATTCTACAGAGTAAAGGCATCTTAAGGCCTACAGCAGGCACAATGAAAGGTAAATGGTTACTACTAACATCAATACGCAAATCAATAAATTAATCTGATTCAATACTTTAATTGAGACTAACGGTATTCAGGTCAAACACATAGCATGTATTTCCAATCACTGACTGGATATTTCTATGCAATGAATCTATATATTAGAAGAGAATGGAAAAATAAAAATATCATGAGTGCTGGGCAAACTGAGTTCTGGCTGTGTGGTTCTGCTCTGAACCAGTCATTGGTTCTTCATCACACATAGAAAATTACTGTATATTTTCTCTTTATAGATCTTAAGTCTGGCTTCAACTGAATCTCATGGGTGTCTTTGGGGAAAATCAAAAACAGCATCAATCAACCTCTATCTAAACTTGCTAGCTTCAGTATATCATTTCCCTAAATGATTCTCATTTTACTTTATACTGATAATGTATGGTATGTTGCAGATCCAGGCTGGATTCAGAAGATTTTATAAATATATTCTTAACATTATTTTAAAGTTGAATAGGCACATTGAGTCTCCATGATGCACTCTTCATCCTGCTGCGGTTTGGAGGAGGATGCACCATGGATGATGGGACTTGCAATACATGCACTCCCTTCCTGAGACCATTACAACTGCCAACAATGATGGATCAGGATCACAATTCACACAGAGAGCCCGCATGATCCACTCTACATCCTGGTGCGGTTTGGAAAAATTTGGAGATGGATGATGGGACTTGCAGTAAGTTCACCCACTTCCTGAGACCACTGAGACCCTTGCCAATGACTGATCAAGACCAAACTTGGCACACAGAGCCCCCATGACCCACTCTACTTCCTACTGCACTTTCGAGGAGGACAGACCATGGATGATGGGACTTCAAGTACCTCTACTCCCTTCCCAAGACTGCGGCAACCCTCATCTAATGACCAATCAAGACCAAACTTTGCACACAGAGCCCCCATGACCCACCCTACATCCCGGTGCTGTTTGAAGGAGGACGGACGATGGATGATGGGACTTGCAGTACCTTCATTCACTTCCTGAAACCACAGCGACACTCATCCAAATACCAATAAAGACCAAACTTGGCACAGAGAGCCCCCGTGGCCAACTCAACATTCTGGTGAGGTTTGGGGGAGTACAGACTATGGATGATGGGACTTCAAGTACCTCCACTCACTTCCCAAGACTTCTGCAACACTCATCTAATGACCAATCAAGAACAAACTTGGCACACAGAGCCCCCATGACCCACTCTCCATCCTGGAGCAGTTTGGAGGAGGATGGACCACAGATGATGGGACTCACAGTACCTTCACTAACTTCCTGAGACCGCTGCGAGCCATATAAATAACTGATAAAGACCAACCCTGATACACAATTCCTTTCTCAAATAACCCGGGCAGCACCGGGTCCCCAAGCTAGTATAGATATAAAACCGATATTGTACTATGCTAATAATAGAATATATTGTATGAAAATACATCTTGTAAGCCGCTCTGAGTACCCTTTGGGGTGAGAAGAGCGGCATATAAATGCCGTAAATAAATAAATAAACTTTCTACAACTGTGAAAGCCTGCCAGAGTTAAAAAAAAACATAACTGCCTTCTAGAGGAAGGCCACAGAGAAATAGCCAACCTAATCCCCTCAGCTGAGAGTTTATCTCTATCAAAAAAGCAACAAGACAACATGTTGTTAATAAATGAAAGCAAGAGCTATTTGGACATTGAAAGACCCTAACTGTCAGTGAGAAAAGAAACCAAAACAAAAACGCAGCAGTCAACATTTATATGGAATGATTATAATAATGTACACTTGTTATTATTTTGATTGCCTTTTACAAATCCTTTCCTATTGTCATTTTAACCTAATTTTCTCTCTTTAGCAGTTCCTATAAAATATTTCAAATATTTATGATATTATTTATTAGGGAGTTTTTTTAACTATGTTGATATCATACAATGAAGAATTACAGTATCTAGAATATTTGAAGGAAGAAATTGAATATGTGATACCACTGAAATATTTCTAAAGCAGAACGATACAAACTTCCTGTCACTTTAGTACACAGGTAGGGAAACTCTGCCTCTCCAGATGAGCTTGGCCTACGACTCCAAAACGTCCAAAGAGCCAAAGGTTCCCCAATGCTCTTCTTGATGGAAATGCTAGAAGTCATTATCACACATGACATGATAGCAGACAATTAAACACTTTATCTCATACCTGAATTTGGCATATGATTTACTCTGGTCGGATTTAGCAGTTCTACTGGCTGGTCCCTGCCAGAAAGTCCATCTGGGAAAGAAAAAACAACAACAAAAAAGAAACCCAATGTCAATAGATCCATCACATTAAAGCTCATCAGAGGTTCTGATGAACCAGACAACTGAAAAGCAAATAAAAAGGCAATTAAACCGTGTTATTCAACAGAAGATTAACATTCACCTGTAAGTATACTTTTATACTTTATTTATATCTGAAATCAGGTAAATTGTGATAATTTCATTGCTTTTGTATGGCATATTTTTTTTACATGGCTTAGGTCTTACATAAAACATTGTTAATGGGGATTTATATAATCTATGTGAGATTTAAAAAAAAAGGAACAAGACAAGGATATCCACTATCACCACTGTTAGACATCTCAGCACTTAAAATCTTTATATAAAGGAAAGGATAAGAAAGAATAATATAAATTAAGCACATTTGTTGAAGTCTGGTGTTTTAACTTGGCAAATCAAGAAGCAAAAGACTGAGACTGATGAAAAATAGGAAGATGGCAGGTCAAACAGAACAAATGGAAAAAAGCTTTAGAAAAGAAGATGAAATATCAGGCATCACAATAACAAATTCAAATTGTATGTTATTTCAAAATAGCAACATTAAGACATGGAACGAAATTAAGAAGGGACAATTTAAATCTGTCTCTGCTGGGGGAAAATGTGATAGTAAAAAGGAAAAAAAGGTACTCAGTTCCTTTCATGATCTGTTATAGAGAATTTGAAAGAATATTAAACTAAAACCTGATTTTTTTTCTTCCGTGTCCTAAAGATGAGCTAGCAAGGACATATGGAAGAATATTTCAGTATATGATAACAGAATTATATTGTTCAAAAACTGAAGAATGACTTACTCCCTATTAAAGAAGATTGGTGACTAAAATTGAATTATTTCATGCAAATGGAATTGTCTAGTTTGATTTAAAAATTATTAGTAGTGATTTTAAAAGATTGGAATCTCCTCAGTGGTTTTGGCAATTACTATGAGTTAAATGCATAGTCAATGTATAGTTTTAAGACTCTCTTTTTGTTTGCTTGTTTGGGTTGGTTTATAGGTTATTTGGTAAGTTTCTTTTTCTTTCTTATATCTACTTGGTAGTTTTAATTATATGCTAGATTGAATTTTGTTATATGTAGATTTTAATGAACTAAATGATGCTATAAATGACATATGTTTTGATAACTTGAGTTTTAATCATGAAAAACCGCTTAGACTATTAGAAAAAAAATACTCTTCCACAGTGTAATCAACCTGACCCAGAGTATTTAGTAAAAAAGAAAATCTTCAGAAACAAGATCAACCAGCTAGTAAAAGTAAGAATATGCATAGATTACCTCAGGCAAGAAGAATGCAAGACTGTACTGGTAATTATGCTGTGCATAGAATCAATTATTACTGTTATATATTTGTATCCTGCTTTTATCTCTGTAGCTGAGATGTTAAGTGACTAACAACAATAAAAATACAATTTAAATTTTTCAGCATATAAATATTGAAATAGGATTAAACATGCAAATTGTTTCATATCACTTAAAACATAAAACACAGTTAAAATAATTAAAATAGTATACAGCGCTCAGATCCTTGAATTCACCCACTGAGTCACCCAGTAAACCAAATGTTAAAGGACTACGAGAATGAGAAGCAATTTGGCTGCACAGCCTGCAAGACAACACAAGATAACCTAGAGAATGCCATCCTGTACATCTAGAACAGGGGTCCCCAAACTAAGGCCTGTGGTTGGAAGTGCCCCTCCAAGATCATCTACCCGGCTCCCACCCTAAACTTTAGACTTAGAATTACCTTCGGTCTGAAACGACTTGAAGGCACATAACAACAACAATCTTAATAAACCTGACTGTTTCATCAGCCAAACGCAGGTCCACATTTCCCACTGAAATACTGCTGGTTTATGTTGGTTAAAATTGTTTATCCTTTTAAATGCTATATTGTTCTTTCAAGGGTTTTTTTGCACTACAAATAAGATATGTGCAATGTGCATAGGAATTTGTTCACGTATTTTTCAAACTGTAGTTCGGACCCCCAACAGTCTAAGGGGCTATAAACCGACCTTCTGTTAAAAAATGTTGAGGACCTGTGATCTAGAACAATTCCACCACAGAACACCAAAACACAAGGAAAGTCAATATTATATTCTAAAGATACATCTAGACGAGGCTATTATCTTTTCTTGGTAGTATTGCAAGCAGTGACATCTTATGAACCAAAACAGGAAGTCTTGATCCAATAATCCAATGAAAGTACTTGTACTACAAACTGCATGTCAATGCACACATCATTCATCAGTCTTGGTTGATAAGAAAATGACGTCCGTATTTTATTTGTAAGCAAAAATAAAAAGTAGGATTATAGTTTTGTTTCACTTATGCAACATTACAAAAAGTTAAAGTTATGTTATAGTACTAGAAAAAAGTACTCTACTATGGTATTTATCTTCTGTTTACTGAAAAGAATGTGCACCTCTGCCCAAAAATATGGCTCTCAACAGGCAAAACCAGAAACAAGTGATTGCATGTTGATGAAAGAGACATAACAAAAGACAAAATAGATAATTATTGTTGAACGAAGCAGAATTCAAGAAAACAACATGTACTCTCAACCATGCAGAATTAAAGAAATCTTCACAAAATGAATTACTTTGGGGTAATTTTTAAAATAGCCAAGTTAATCTTCTTTTGAGTAAAAGTGGGAATTGGGAAGATAATCTTCTATAGTAGAAACTTGAGACACTTGATTTTAGCATGGACATGATGATCAAGCCAGGTGAACCAATGAAATAAGAATAAAGCCATGGTATTGACCACAATTACACAGTTGTAGGAACAGTACATATAACAACAGGATATAGGGGTTATGATTCTGGCCATATGTTTTCAAAGAGCTGTACTAAATGACAAATGTATTTCGAGTGGATACATTGTTAGTATTATAAAAACAACATATCTGCAATATATACAACTAGCCCTGTATATCTGTAGGTTCTGCATCTGTGGATCATCCTCAAACAATAAGGGGGGAAATTTTGCTGTGCAGTGAGCACTATGCTGGTGAGTAGGCATAACCTAATGTAACTTTTCACTATTTATAGATCCTCAGGTTCTCTACAGCTAGAGGATCTATTAGTTATTCACTATGTTATTATGCCATGGATTTTATTATCTGAGGCGGGACCCAGCATCAATCTTCCATGGATATAGTGGGCTGGTGGCTACACATCCAGGATATTTCTGACTCCACTGAAAATTTTAAGGTATTATAGAATGATAAAATGCCCCATTATCTATGACTGTTAAATAGTGAAATTAAGGTTGACTACTTGTGTATTGTATTTATTTCTGTTTTGTATTTCTCACGCAGTGGTGTTTGTCAGAAGAAAAAAACCCAAATGTGTCATTGTTGTAATAAGATGAACTTTTGCCTTTGCTGTATATTCAGGAGTATGTGTCTTGGTCATGCAGGAAGATATCACAAAAGGACAAGTTACTCGCCTGTAACCATGTTTCTTCGAGTAAATCCACACAAGTGGAGTGTATCTGCATCAGTGCAGGCTCCAACAGAAAACTTCCAAAGTTTAAATCCAAAGTTTTGCCGGTAACCCCGCCCACTCCCCTCCTCAGGGCATAAAAGGCGCCCTGGCCGCCAACTCCGCAGTTATTATCATTATTATTATTATTAAACTTTATTTGTACCCTGTTAACATCTCCCGAAGGACTCGGTGCGGCTTACAAAGGCCAAGGCCCTCAATAAAACAACAGCATAACAAATACAACAATAAAACTCATAAAGCAAACCAATAAACATTAAAGCAATAACAGTAAAACATCAAAAACAATAGATCATGACACATTTAAAACTAGGGCCGGGCCAAATGTAATGAATAAATTCCCACACCGCAAAGGCTGTGAGAAAGGAGAAAGTTTGTTTGAGGGGAGGCAGGTGGGTTTGTGTGGATTCAGAGAGTACCACTCGAAGAAACATGGTTACAGATGAGTAACCTGTCCTTTTTCTTTGTGGACTCTATGAATGCATACATGTTAAGACTAGCAAGTAGAGGTCCCGGATGGTGGGGCAAATGCAAACCGGCATCTTAATAGAGGACCAAAACATGATTTATTGTGACCAACATTTGCAAAATTAGTGCAAGGTACATGTCACTGAACAGGTATCATCTGAAAAAAGAAATCCAGGGGGAAAACTGTTAGGATATGTGAGATACATGGGTAATACAAGGAGAGTCACCATGTTGGAACGCAGACACCTTAAAAAGCCAGACTCAGGAGTATGTCCAAAAGAATAGTTTATTGATACAAAACAAAAGAGACTCAGAGACACTTGCTTCAGTGCCTCTGGTCAAAAACTCAAAAGTAGCAGTAAAAATAGCTTGAAAAGCAAACTAAAGCAATAATCTGGATTATCCAGGAAAAAGATCCGGATTAAACTCAAGTACTTGCAAAATCCCGCAAAATCACACAGCAAACAAAGGATGATCAAACAAAGAGCCATGGTCCAATGCAGTCCGAAGTCGAAGAAAGCCGAGTCCAAAGTTGCGAGGTTCCAAAGTCCAGGACCATTACTCTTTCTAAAGATCACCTTAAACTCCAATTTAAGAAGAAATCTCAAATAAGATTCAGGACTGTGACTCTTAACAAGCCCATTTTCTTTTCCTTTAGGAATTTAACTTTTTTACCTGCTAAAGAGGCTAGTGAATTTTGAAAGTTAATAAAATGTATTTTCCACCTTTCGATTGGCAGAATAATAGCAATTGTCGATGCTAATTTCAGATTTTGATGTATTTTGTTAATATCATAGAAAACAAAGCTTGCTTGAACATGAATCCAGGCAGATGAAGTACTTTAGTTTCCCATGGTCATGTTTAGTTATTTTAAAAAATAGAAACAGAAAGTAGCCTTTTGTGCAACATTGTCACTGAGAAATTCTGAACACTGTCCTTATGTTTTAGTTACCTACTGTCTTCATTAAAAAAGAGGTAAAAG